TTTTAATTTAGAAGGAAATCAGCTTGCAGCCTATTTGCTTTTTACATGAACAGTTTCCCTACACCTGTTTAAGATCGCTGTGTTCAAATATTGTTTAGTTAGCTGGTTCTCAAATATTGAGCAACATGATTTCGAACGAATGACCTCTTTTGAACACGCTGCCTCTGCACGCATTTTCGGCGTGCGGTTATTGCCGCGTGTTTGTGGCTTCACCGAAGATTCGAAGGTTTCGTGACAAAAAGCGGGGTGGAGTACGCAGCCTGACACTTGAAGACTAATCGGGCACACACGTACATTCACACAGCTCATTCATTGAAGGGGAGGGCAACCCACGCAGGTGATGACGACCCAACCGTTGGGCTCGTTCGAAAGCGACTCCTTGCAGGGGCTGGTGCGGGCGTGCCTCGCATGCACTTAGCACGCTGTCCACCGACGCCCCACCCCTGGCCTCCTCCAGAGCCTTCTTGCATGCATTTTGCCGGCCTAGGAGTGGAGCTACACAGCAGTGCAAGACATTGCCCATTGCATTTCTTTAGCCACTGGCCCGCACTAGCAAACTGTGATAATTGTCAAACGAAACATTGCCAACGTCAGATTCTAAGTGCCACCTAACCAGTCAATATTTACAAAACGGCTAGTCAGGAGATGGGGTCGTCTGCTCCTAGCACGGTGAATTCTCTCGCCCGATGCGGCGCAGCAGGGAAGCAAATCTGCCACATGAGGAGGGACGCGCAGCGTTCAACCAGAAAAACCATGACGGCCATTCGGCTTAACTTCTCGCCTTTGCTATTTTTCAAGTTGTTCCAAACCATGGGAGAGGATTTTTTAGAACCCACCAAACTGCTGCGACTAGTACTTCAATACCCGAAAACCAGAGAGAAATACGAACCTATGCAATGGCAAGATGACCTAAATTAATTTAAAGCCCAAACGCATTTTCTGGGGCACAATTGCAACCCTGATCCACAAGCACCTTATTTCTTTCGTGATCTGATCACTGCATTGCTTTCATGCTTGTTTCCCTTTCCAGTTTTGTTTGCACACAGCTTCAAAACCCAAATTTGGCCCGATTGAATCTGAACATATATAATTAAAAGGGGGATTTTGCTCAGTAATCCGGAAAAAAAACAGAGGGTTGAGCCCCGCACGGGAGTGGCACGAGGCTGCTCCCAGGCACCTGCGTGCGCACGGCACCGAGGCCCCTTTCAGAAGCTTGGACGTCCCCGTAAAGCATCCCCAGGATATCAACAGGAAGGCCACAATGCCGCTGGCCTGAAAGGAGTCTGAATTTGTGTTCTCTTCACTTGTGAAACTGTTGGTGTGAGATTAGAAGATGTATGTGTAAGCGCTACTAGTAGAGGAGGTTGCCCTTTGTCTACCCCCATGAGCTCATCCTGTGGCTGGTTATGTGTGGACATGTCCTGCTTGACCCTGCAGCTGCTACAGTATATTGGGAGCACATGAAAAAGTTTGCCCCTTGGGCCTGCGAATGTTTCCCTCGCACTGGTGGAGTGTGCTACCCAGTTGCACTTTACGGAGATGAAGCTCAATACACCGACTCTGGAGAGCACTGTCTGGCTTTTCTACTCAGCTGCCTGAATATATGGGTAACATATTTGTTTGAGAGCTGCTGTTTTGAAAAACTGTGTGTGAATGCGCACCACTCAGCAGTTCGAATCCCTCCAGGTTTCCCCTTGTGGGACGACCAGCGACAATCTATTTGGCTCACACGGTTCCCCATATGCGCACTCCGAACTGCCAAATCGCTGGGGAATGAGACATATGCCCCTATTTGGAAAGCAAGGGCCTGGAGCTTCCATGTTTTGTATCAAGGAGTTCACCCTGAGCGCGATCTATGGGGGCAAATTTGGGGTCCTGCAAAATGCTTTGGGGCCAAGCCTCTCGACCCACTACTCCCTGGTGCCAGCTTTAAGCTGACAGAGGTGAGGGGAGATTGGAAGCAACATGCTGACGTGTTTGGCGTGGCATCGCATTGGCGCTGCACAGACCTATGTCACCGCTGCAGGGCTACCAAATCCAACAGTCCTTTGCACTACATTGACTTCACGGAGAACCCAAAGTGGGCTGCAACTGAAAGGACCTTGCAGGAATTTTTGCAGGAACAGGTCCAGCTAGACCACCCCTTCTGCAACGCGCTGGTACTAACCCCTGGGTGGAATCATCGATTCCTGCGATTTTGTTCAATGCATTCCCTAAATCTAGGGATAGGGCAAGATTCGAATGGCCCAGCTGTCAAGGTGCTATGTCAGGCCGGTGCATTTGGGGACAAGGATTTGCACATCAGCCAGCATTTCCAAACAATGTGGACCAGATTTCGCGCATGGAAAAGGCGGAGCCGGGTGGTATGTTCACAGCCACAGTTCAAACCGTATATGCTGCATTCCTCCGCTGAAGATTTTTGTGTTTTCAGATCAAAGGCTTTTCGGCTGTGAAAAGTCGCTTTCGAGGCATATGCAGCGCTATTTTTTTTGGTATAGCGCATTCGTTGTTCTTCGATTAGTCGACTTTACTCGGCGCACAAGCCAAGGCATACAACTCACGTGTGATCACAAGCTTCTTGGCAGAAGAGCTGGCTACATTGGTGGCTAGTGGTGCGGAAGCAGCAAGGCAGCCAAATGTGGCAATGACGGCAAAATGCATGTGGCATTTGCACTGCTTCTACGCCGCTGTTGAGTCGGCTGGAAAACTCCTCACACAGCATGTTACTTGGCAAGCCCCAGCACATTTGCTAACTGTGTAGTGTTGAAGTACGTTTATTTGTGGAACATTATAAGTTACCCAGCCCCAAGCCCACCCCAGACTGCCTCGCTCGCAACCCAGCGGTCCAGGAAGCGCAGCGCATCTACGGCCACGGGATGAGCTACCTGCGCTATTTCCTATGCCTGGCCCAGGAGGCACTTCGTCGGGGTGAGTTCCCTATCTGACACAGTACAGGTTTGACGTATATTCTGACGATTCTGTTCCATGATTTCAGGATCCCGCAAAAGCCGCATTGAACATTAATAGACACCTGTTGGTTGCATCCCTTTTTTTTGGGTGGCTGCCCCACTAAAAATGTCTTCCCCAAAAAGGGTTCCCTTTTTTTCCCAGGGTCACTGAAAGACGTCGGCTAGGCTTATGTGGCAATTACGCCCAAAGCACCATGCGATGCACCACGTGCTTGTCGATGCGCTCCATGAGCGTACCGAGTTTGCAAGCGGGAACGACTTTCCTTTTTTGGGGTTTGGGGTTTCACAAATTCAACAAACACAACGTCTTTGATATAGGTCTATGGCCACTAGGTTACAGTCCCCGTGCTTATCATTGCTTTCGAGATGAGTCTGCGATGCAATACGTCAAGCGCATAGCGAGGGCAAGCCAACGAGATACATTGGAAGAAGGATTAATGGAGAAATGGTACCTTAGGCAAGGGTTGCAAACTCATTGTAAACACGGTAACGCTTTGGCATGATGCTTTTCAACCCCTTGGAGGCTGAGCCATGCCTATGCGGACTTGAAGAAGAGGGCCGCCAGCAAGAGCTGAAATTAGTGCAAGTTTGAAGTAGCGTTGCGAAAAACTGGCTGTTTGCAATTCACGCCTCGGTGGCTCAGGGTGAAGAGTTGTTTTCTGTTGGGCTTGCCTGATCAGATCGTTTCTGCAACACTTGAGCCTGAACAAGGCACTGGACCGCCGAAGCCGGATGCATGAAGACAAAGCTGCGTGCTGAAAAACATGTGTCGTCGTGGGGCATGTTTGTGCCAACTCTGCCTATTTTTCTGAGACCCTATATTTTAAGGTTCCGGGCCCAAGACCCTGAAATTGGAGGCTTTGGCCGAGACCTCGTTATATGAGGTCTTGGGCTCCTAGGGCTGTGTAGTGTTCTTGTTCAAAGAAGCAATTCAGGCAGGCAGTCACCCTCTCCCGCCACAAGTTAGATATGAGGGGTTGATTCCCCTGTCTGTTCAACTACGGCTCTTAAACTCAGCAAGTTTACCTTCTGTTTTTTGGTGCGCTTCTCGAGAGAAGAAAGATGGTTGGCTACAATGGGGAATTTGCTCTCTGGAAGGATCAGCAAGCCGGCCCCGAATTGAGAATCTGCGCGCACATCAAGGCCAATGCTATCGTCCAAGACAGTTTCAATCATTTCTATGACCAAACCAACGAAGGGAGGATGTGTGAAATATAATACTGCGTCTTGTTTATTCCACCCAAATGGTGGCATTGTTTTGGTTTCCCTTAAAAAGCACCAAGAAGGGAGCACCCCCAACAAAGTCACACCCAGAGGAAAAATCCACACGCTGCAATCCAATTTGGTCTCCTAGCCAAAGGCCTGTCTGATGCTCCAACCTGGGAGGAGCGCCTGTTTTGCAGCACTCGCATTAAGGGGACCGCAAATTGCCTGCGAAGCACTTGCTGGCTGAAAGTCTAACAGAGCTCGATGCCAGCCTCAGTCGCCTTCTTTTCTGAGGTTGTTTTTGCGGCTGCTTTGCCTCTCTATTTTGGCAGCAGGCGGTAGCAGCAGGCACTGAGGCCGCTCTTCAAGCCGAGCGCCCTTTCCCCTTGCTTTGCGAAGCTTTAAAAGGAAACAATGCGTACCCAAACTGGAACCCTGGAAAATGGAACCCATGACTAAAACAGGCGGTTTTTTGGGCGGTTGAATTTTGACCCACAACCATCTAGGGGTCCTTCCCCCCATTTTGACGCACAACCATCTAGGGGTCCTTCCCCCCCTCTTTTGACATTTCCCACCTTTGGCAACGCAGCCGCACGCGAGAAGTGACAAAAAAATCGCCTGTCGCCATCATCTTCCAACAGCTGGCAGGTGCTCCACTCCCGGCGGCCTAAGCGGCAAGAAGAAGCGAAGAACCGGCCGGTAGGGTCTGCGGTACTGCGTTGCTTGACTCAGTCATGGCCGATTCTTAGTGGTGTCTGCTGATTTTGTTGGCAAAAGCTTTCGTGATACCTATGGGGGGAGGGTGAGTGACCAAATCTTTACACGTCACCCCAACATCTGCATGGGCCTGCATAGGACCCCCCCCCAAATAAAAACATATGATGATTTGTCCTTTCGGTTTCCCTTTCAAGGCGGGACGCCCTTAAGAAAAGACAAGCTGGTGCTTCAACAAGGCGATGGCAACACATGACCTGCAAACCCCCCGATGTCAAGGCTGTGGCGGAATCGGGTCGACAGGTCCGAGGCCACGTCGAAGAGAGACCTGCAAGGATCTGTCAGACATCCAGAAAACAAATGCAAGGTCCCAAGGAAGAACAAGGGATGACATCTCTCACTACCCCTCCCACTAACATAGCACCTGTGGGATGCGACCTGCAAGATCAGTGGGAGGAAGGGTAATGCCAAAGGATACCCCTAGCTTTGCTTAATTTCAAACACTCAACACACCAAAGCACACACACACACACCGCCCACAATGAATTTGCGTCAAGTACTTGCCCCTCTGCACTATCATCTGTCGTCATCTGTCATGGGTTGTTCTTGAAACAAATGTGCAATGACCATCCCTATACAACCCGAGTCACTAGTTGTTCAACAGAGGCAACACGTGGTCAGTAACAACTAGGGATCAACGACGCAACAAGTACGAGATGGACGTGACAGTTCCAGCAGATCCTCTGCTGCAAACACGCCCTGCTGCCCTTGTTTGAGGGCCTTCGCTCTGCCTGATTGAAAGAAACGCACGCTAAAAATAAGACCAATGATAGATGCGGTGCGGTCAAAGCCTTCAATCCAAAGCTACTTCCATAACTGGTCAAGAGTGTCAACACAGAAGCACCCTCGCTTCCTCTTATTGCCATCACCAAGCCGCTCCTGCTTTGATGAACCTCAGTCACCCTTGATGAACTCAGTCACCCGAGGGATGGAGTTCAAGGTGGGGTGGGACAGGTTTAGACAAACATCTGAAACACCTATTTGCAAAATAATAAGGGTGGTTTTCCTTTGGTTCCCAAAACGCATCCATATTTCTCCGAGAATCTGACACCCCCCCCCCCAAACCGACCCTGGGCTCGCTCCCCGCCTGCCCTGGACCCAAACGCTGAGGTGCCGTGTGGACGCCAAGTTGGCCACCGCTTGCCCGTGCCCAGGGCCGTCGCGCATGGGCACGATGAGGCTGAGCTTCACCTGAAGGGTCAAGGCCACACGTGACAACAAAACTTGTTGGTGCGATAGGTAGGGAATGAGGGAATGAACCGTCGAGGGATTCCCTTAAAGGAAACCAAATCGGGGTGGCAAGAAAGCCAAAGGTGGAAAAACAAAAACACTTGCGATCGGTGCGATAGGTAGGGAATGAGACATGGAATGAACCGGAAGGGGATTCCCCAAAAGGAAACCAAATCGGGCATGGTTTATGCACGATGTTTTGTTTAAGCAACCTCGTGTGTGTGTTTCCCTTCAAAGGGAACCATGGTCTGGTTGTTACCCATCTTGCCCACTCTTTCCGAAATGCTCGGAAATCGGAGAAAGGGCGGGGCTTCCGCCCTCTTCAATTCCCCGGATTGGTGGCTGGTTCAACAAGAGCAGAAACAGCACATGTTGGAAGGTTGCAAACATATGCGTTGTGCTTTCAACTGCAACAATATCTCTACTGCTTCCTTGGTGCGAACATTTGCCTCGAGTTCACGCATCGTGGACCAACCAAGATGGTGGACAAACGAAACAGTGAAGGTAATCAATATCAATTGATCTAATATGGATTGCTATCAACAGCTTTACAAACCGGCCAGGGACTCATCTATGCATCTTGAAAATCCCTCATCTTTGCCCTACAAGCCCTCGGTCGGGGACACTCACATGCGCACTGTGCAGGCAAAGCACTCACTTGCGACGCAAGTGAGTCAGGTGATGTGGCGGGCAAAATGACGGGCTGCTAAAAGGGAAGTTCCTTAGTTGGGGCTGATCATAAACCGCTGAAGCGCTCAAAGGGCTGGGGTAATTCTTCAGTCTTTTGGACAAGCATTACTTCCTAGCGGCTGTAGCTGAGACCTGGACCCAAGACTAATTTTCGACCCTTGCAGTTTGGGCATATTTTCCAGGGGAGCAACCTCGCCGAATGATCAACAAGTTCGCGCGCACATGTGTGCGTGTGGTGTGTGTGTGTGCTTTGTGTGTCTGTATGTGTCAACATGGGGGCAGCCCAAACTGCTAGATGCGCCTCTTGGTTTCCGACAAAAAAAAAACCTGCAAAGGGAACCCCTCAAAAAACACACGGGGCCCCGAGACCCGTCTCGCCATGTCTCGCCTCCGGCATCTTTGCGGCGACGCTGAGCGCCACCGTCAAAGCCGCCTATGGGACCGAGCCGGCCGGCCACATGGTGTCATGGTGCAGACGCGCAGGGGTTGCGTTTTGGGTAAGGCGGGGAGGGGGATTTAATTTCATTCAAAGGGCACTCTCCCTAGGGCAATTGAACAAAGTCCTCGCTCTTTGCTTCGTGGCTGCAATCAACATGAGACCCCAACAGGGATGATTGGAATGAACCTGTAAACACCATGTAATGTGTGCACCCCACGTTTGATGGTTCAGCCACGGTGAGTTGCGCCTGGATTGGGAATAGCACGATTTGCTCAACATGTGAGCCGCTTGTTCATTAGCCGGTTGGCTAATGTTTGTTGCAATCACATTAGCTTGCCCAACTCGTTAATTGAGCTGGAGCAAGCACTAACATAAACACATGCCCTTGAACATTTTTTCCACATTGGATACCAGCCCTTTTTAATGACACCGTCATGGCTAGTTGCTTGGATAGGACTTTCAAGTGGGAAGGGTACCATTTCAATAGCTACTGAAATGCACACATGTTGGTTTGTCCGGGTTGATGTTCTTCCTCGTTGGCAGAATTAGGCCTTCCAATGATGGTGGACACTTCCCAGTTTTGCCAGACTAAGCGGGTGTTCCTATGTATTAACCCAAATCCATTTGTTAAAGCACATAAACAATTCGCACCCGATGGTGAGTGTATTATGTCTTGGGGGGTGCCCCCGAGCACTAACAGTTAAATAAAGCCATGTATACATAATACCTCAGCAAAAATGACCACCAGCAAGCCCAAATTGGTTTTGGGTAAGCACGCCCCACCAATTTTAGGTTGCGTATTTGTTTGGTCTATATGATGATGCAGTGGAGAGTAGAGCGGTGTTTTTTCATGCCCAGGCCCAAATACGGTTCTATCCCTACTGGTTTCTAGTGCTGCGATTTTGGGGTTGTCACTGGACTGTAGGTGCATTCGGATTTAGGAGACCTAGGAAAAGTTTAAAGCTGGTTCAGGAGTCGTAAACATAGACAGAGACATAGACATAGCATAAACATATATCGCAAATAAACATTGGCCTAGACAGCAACTATGACTACCACTTTTCCGCCGTCGCTGCAAGTTGAATGCAAGTCGCTAACGCTAACACCAAGTTCTGACATCTTGATCTGACAAAGAGCGAAATCCAAAGCAGGCAGGAAGTGGCGCAGTCAGCGCGGAGCTGGCCGCTTCGCCCAGAAACACGTTGGAGCGTCTTGTCTTTCAGCTTCTTCCGTTTGTGGGCCTGGTGGAGGAGCCCAAGGTCCTGAAAGACAGGTTCAGGGCCAGGGGAGCCACTGCCACGTTTGCCCTTGCGGCCTAGACAGCTGTTTGCAGGCCAGTCTGCTGGCTGGCAGCCCCCACCCTGCCCGGCCAGGCCAGCTGGCCCCTGGCCCAGCTGGCGCCAGCGCCGAGCTGGCCGAGCTGGCGCTGACTCCGGCCGGCTCCCGCGCTTCTGGCCAATTTCGGCAAATTTTCGGACGGATTTTCCAGAGGAAAGCGTAAAACTAGCACAAGAAAAAGCACAAGAAAAAGCACAAAAAAAAGCACAAGAAAAAGCACCAAAAAAAGCACCGCAAAACCCCAATTACCCTCCAAAGGGACCCCGCTACTACTTTTCATCACGGGAAACCACCAGCGGGAGCACAAAAAAAAGCACCGCGAAACCCACAAGAAAAAGCACAAACAAAAAGCACAATCGGGAGCACAAAAAAAAGCACCACAAAACCCCAATTACCACCCGCCCGGACCCCGCTACTACTTTTCATCACGGGAAACCACCAGCGGAAGCACAAAAAAAAGCACCACGGAACCCACAAGAAAAAGCACAAGGGACCACCACAAAACCCCAATTACCACCCGCCCAGACTCCGCTACTACTTTTCATCACGGGAAACCACCAGCGGGAGCACAAAAAAAAGCACCACGGAACCCACAAGAAAAAGCACAAAGGACCACCGCAAAACTCCAATTGGAGCACAAAAAAAAGCACCGCAAAACTTGGCCGGCGGGCCGGTTTTTCAAAATTACTTTCCCTTCAGACCGCGAAATTCAATTTACTTGCCCCAGGACCCTCCCCAGGCCTCCCCGGGACACCTTAAAAATTAAAAAACGCGTTAGTGCGTTAGTGCTCCCCCTCAAAAAAAACCGTTAGTGCTCCCCGCGACACTCTTGGAACGAAACAAGGAAGGAAGAAAGCACAGACAGAAGGTTGGTGAGAAGGGCAGACGGAGGGGAGGGGGTTGCTGTGGGCTGGATGTTTGCGTGAGAGGTGGGGGGGTTTGGGTGAGGGCCGCAGGTAAGAAGGAGGTTTGGGGCTGGATGGGTGAGGGCAGCTTGGTTGGCAGGGAGGAGGTTGGGAGCGGAGGCTGAGAGAAGGCCGGGAGGGGCTGTGAATCGGAAGGCTCTGGCTTACGCTGGGGGGAGGTTGACTGGGAGGGGGTGTTGTGGGAAGCAGCAGCGACCAAGCCAAACAGAAAGGAAGGACGGAAAGGGAATGTTGCAACAGCCACGCTAGCCGTCGTGTTGCGTGTGCCAATTTAACTTTCCCATTGTATCTGGACTAATAAGTCATAGTGCAAATAGTCTTTGAATCACTTTATTTCAAGGTCCCCGGAGCTATCCCCCAAGATGCAGAACGAGTAGTTTAGGTTTCAGACCTGCACGGGTACCAAATTTAAAAAAGAGCAAAGTTGCTTGTTTTTTGTGGTGTTTTTTTTTGTGCTCCTATTTGTGCTCACTGTTAGTGGTCCGGGGCCACCCCCAAATTATGTCTCCATGAGTGGGAGTCGGAGCTATGTCATATCATTCAGCCTGTTGCTGCATTGTAGGTAGCAAAACAATACAGGAAAGCAACCATGCGAAAACCAACCAAAAATCCAATATGTGTGTTTTGTGGGCAACTTGTAAATCTGGGCATGTCTGTTTCGGAGACTCCCCGCTAATGGTGGCTTTCCTTTTGGTTTACCTTTAAAAACAAACAAAGAGGGGTACCTTCAGCAAAAACACACCCATTTTGGTCGCCGTCCTGGGTACCCTTGAAAACAACAGACCCATCTATAGTTACAGGTAAGCTAGTGGGGTAGCGAGAAGCCGGCCAAGGCATAGAACTCCTCTGCAAGCTCAGCTCCTTGCCACCATCAAGTGATCAGTGGGCACTCCGGTCACGCCGGCGCCAGCCTTCCACGGTCAAAAACACCATCCCGGTACTTCAGTTTATCTGGGCCCTCAAACTACCCATAAAAAGGGAATTCATACTATAAGTTTGGGGCAATAATTAAGGAAACTTTACGAGGGTCCAGGTACCTGTATAGTCGGTCACCAATGCGAACCGCCCTTCAAATATTGCGAGGGAAATGTCTGGTTACTAGCAACTCGGATCCACTGGGCATGTTAAATGCACTGCTTTTTGAACGGCCTCCCTTGTGGATCCCCTTTAAGGGGGGGGGGCATGAGAGGTTGAAACAAATGTGGCCCAAGCAGCGATGCGATCTGAGACCAGGAGACTACGGTGTGCATCAAAAAGAGCATCCCCCCTCCGACAAGAACGTCTGGAAGTGAACAAGGCAGAAGCTGGTGACCACAGTCCGACGTGGGCCATGCAAACCACATTGGATTTTGGAATCCTTTCTCAGTCTTCACGAGTCTGCAAGGGGACATGCAAAGGTGACACGCCGTGAGTGTACAACAGCTGTCTCTCTCCTCTTCCAGAATTGCCAGCTAGCATTTGAGTCAATCTCATCCCAGTCTTTATGACTTGCGGTTCACACCCTGAGTAAGCTACCATGACTTGATCAATCTTCAACCCTAAACCTAGCCCTCAAAATCCAACAGCTTTGCAGAGATAGCCCGCATCATGCTGAGCATGCAAAGTACCCCTTCCCCAATGTTGCACTTGCTCCCCAACTTTGCTTTGCCAAAATGTGGTTCTGCAGATTGAACAAACTCCTGTAGCATCACGATCCTGTGCTTTCCCTTGAATTTGTCGACACCGTTTCCGTGAACCTGCACTTCTTTCGGCGAAACCAATGCTACGATACTCTCTTGCACGAAATGTCCCTCGCTTTTCGGAAGGGCTGTCCACTCATGTCCACGTTCCACGTTTTTTGAGGCCTTACCAGGGGTTGTCCATGCTTTGTCCACGGTCCAGCTACTGGCAATGTTTTGCGCAATGAACAATGTATGTATTGCTAAATTGGTTCACCGGCATCGAGCAAAGTTCTACGAGGAGTCACAGTGCCACGTTTTGGGGCACCACCTTTCTGGGCTTGGTTTAAATGCATGGAGGGCAAGTCGTTTTTTGCCGGAGACCAAATGGGCTTGCTTTTTGCAACGGCTGAACCCACAAAATGGATGGTCTTCCTTTAGCTTTCACCAAGCCGAAGGTGGGTATACCCTGAAAACTGGGCTCCCGACCACTAAACTCTACACCAACTATAGCCTAAGAAGCTAAGGAACCGCATGCCTGGGAACCAACAAGAACAAGTTCCCTCAAAACTTGGGTTATTGCCCCACAATCTCGAGGTGAAGTCCCTTGTTTGGTTTGAGGGTCCAGGTACCCTCAAAAAGGACACCCCCGGTTCGAGGGGCCTCCAGCAGGCGACCGGCGCTTGGCGCCAACTTCACGTAGTGGTCGTAGCCTCCGCAAATCCGCGCGCCCCAGTCCGCGAAGCCGAGAAAAGCCGAGAGGAGGCCAAAGGAAAGCCATCCAGCCTGGGCTTTCCCCCAAGAAATGCGGGCATCCCCCCCCCAAAGAAAAACGCAACCCCCAAAGCAAACTCGATTTTGAGACAAACCGATGGCGTTTCACTTCGGCTTGCTTGATGTTGGGAAATTCAGCCCGCATTTCCCAGGGCGAGCGGCCAAGCGAACACTCGCATCGTGGATCGGGGATCGGGACCCAACCGGGGCGGGGGGGGGGGTGGTTCTTCTCGGAGCCTTTGGGAAGCAAGGCGAAACTGACGCCTCGACATGCGGCTGTCAGCCTCGTAGATTTAAAGAGGCTGCAACACAACGTGCTTAGAATTCCAAAGACCTAAATTCAGGTATCCCCTCAAGGGCCTTCGTTTCCTCCAGGAAAAACTAAACACATTTCCAGTAGTGATAGATTCCCTTTAAAACCAACCAAGGGAAAAACGCAAATCATCATTTCAGCAAATGGAAGAAACATGTTTCCCTCCAAGAGTGACTTTACTCCCCAAAAACAAAGGTCACTACGTATAGTGAGCTCGTTTGACCCCCCCCTCGTCCCCAAAATACTCCCTGCCTCGCTTCCGTGGAGGGCAGCTGTTGTGGGCCAGGTCCAGTCGATCTTCCCAGCCTAGAGCCGAGTTTCTCGGGCCGGGCAAGTGCTCGACCTTGGTTCCTGGGTTGGTTGGTTGCTTCGGTGCTTGGTTGCTTGGTTGGTTGGCTTTGTATGCTGTGTGGCTGTTTGGCTGGTTTGTTGAATCGTGGCTCGATCGTTGGTTGGTTTGGTTGGTTGGCTTGGTTGGTTGGGTTGGTTGGGTTGGTTGGTTTGGTTGGTTGGGTTGGTTGGGTTTGTTGGTTTGGTCGGCAGATAGGCATAGATATATAGGTAGGTGGCTAGGTGGGTGAGTAGGTAGCTAGCTAGCTAGCTAGGTTGGCCGTTCGACGCATTGGCTGGTTGGTTGGTCGGTTGGTTGGTCGATTGATTGGTTGATTGATTGATCCATTGTTGGTTGCTCGAGCTACTGGTATGGTTGCTCGAAATGTTAGTATGTTGATTGCTTAGTTCAATGGTTGGTTAGCGGGAAGACAGAGTCTTGGATGCTTGGATGCTTGGAGTGGGGCCACCAGCCACCTGTTGTTTCATGCGACAACTGACACAGGATCCCACCTGGGAAGCAAAGAAGCTGGCTTGAAGGTTGGCAAACACACACACACACACACCCACACACACACACACACACTCACGCGCACACACACACACACAAACACACACACACACACCACACACACACACACACACACACGCGCGCACGCGCACGCGCACGCGCACGCGCACACGCACACGCACACACGCACACACGCACACGCAAGCGCACACACACACACACACACGTGAAAACAAGCTTCCAAGTTGCGACTCTTCGAGATTTATGACTTAAATACCTTCAAAGAACGAGCTTGAGCTTGACAATAATAATTAACAATAATAGTAATTAATTAATTAATTAATTAATTAATTAATTAATAATAATAATGATAATAATAATACTAATAATAGTAATAATAAGAATACAAATAATAATAATAATAATAGTAATAATAAGAATAATAATAATAAGAAGAAGAAGAATACACATAATAATAATAATAAGAATACAAATAATAAGAATAATAATAATAAGAATAATAATAAGAATAATAATAATAATAGTAATAATAATAACACCAGCAACATCAATAATAATAATAATAACACCAACAGCAACACCAACAATAATAATAATAAATACTAATAATAATAATAATACTCATAATAATAATACTAATAATAATAAAAACTAAAATAACAATAATAATAACAACAACAATAATAATAATAATACATAATAACACTAATAATAACAAAAAACAAAACACGCGCAGACACACGTCACACACATGTTGTAGATGTTTGGACAGCTTTGTAAAGCTCAACCTGAGGCTCCCAGAAGCCCCGACAACGACAGATCCAAAGGGAATAGATTCACCGTGTGCAAGGGACACCATGCGTGGCGTCGTTGTAGCGGATTGCCCACCCACAGCCAAGCGCATTTCTGAAGGATGCAGCTGGGGCATCTAAAAAGAAACGCTGCCAGAGAACTCCTGATAGCTCCTTCGTATTAAAAGGGCAATCTTGGATATCCCCCATCTCCGCAACGGCTCCCTTCCAACCACGTCTGGCTCCATTTGCCTTCGTCCTCGCGCTTGTCCAGCACCGCATGCCGCAATCTTGCCTGAACGACCCCTTGGGTGCTGTAGATCCCCCAGCAAAAAGTGAAACTTTTTGCTGGTCAAAAGGAAATATGAGGGGAATCCAAAACATAAAGTCTAAAGATCCAACCCAATAGCAGTAGAGGCCCAGGCACAAACTAAAACGCAGGACGAACCAAAACCAAACAAAACTATGCTTGTTGACAGTGCCGCATGGCGGGACTCGTAAGCACCTATTGCATCCCGTAAGATGTTGTGCAAACCCGCTTGTGCGTACAACCCTGATCGTTGCAAGGTTCCTATTCCACAAACTAAGCAGGCATGAGATATGTGACAGGATTGCCATTTGATCATGGCTCACAAGTGGGTGCGTTGTCAGCCTTCCCTTGCGCAACTTGTGGGGCCCAAATTCCAAAGCACACCAGCTACCTGCTTGACAGACTTTGGTTGACATTATCGTGGGTTCCCTAGAATCTTTGAGCCATATCGCTATGGCTCAAAACTGGTACCCAAAATGTCATATGGCATATGGAAAAACAGACTAAAAGCCGCGGTTTGCCCCAGCTGTTTCATTTTGAGCCACACCCATATTACCAGTGCCAGGTAAAAGAAACCTCAAAGGGCAGGAGGCTGTTAATCACAGCGACTCTGGAGAAAAAAGGCTTTTCGGTGTTGACTATGTTCAGTAGTCAACCCAAAGCGAAAAGGCGAAACCAACAGCCAAATTTGTGGTTGTCCTGTTTTAGGGGAACCCCCCCCCCCCCGGCCAAAAGGGGGTTCTAAAAGACACACAATGGAAACAAATTGGGGCCTCAGACTCCACGAGTCGGATGTCAAGCCCATATCCCAATGGCAGGGTTCGAGATCAGGTTCTCCCACAAGCAAACCACCAGTTGGATGGATTGAATCGGGGTTATGAGCAATGTTGCACACCGTGGTTGTCAAAACCGTTTTGGGATCCCATTTTGGGGTAGGTGAATTCACCACCCATTTTGGAACCTATTTCAGTGGGGATTGGGATGTTCACTGCGGGTACGATTTGGATTTTGACCCATGGCCATGTCTCATTCCCTGCATCTCTTGCACCAGTCGTTTGACCCCCCCCCCCCCGCCGAGCCTCGGCGATAGCCAAGCCATCCGGCGCCGGGGGCAGGCGACAGCTCCGCAGCGCCGCTCCGGCGGAGGCCTCCCAAAGCTGTGGCGTTCTGCGAGGCGCTGTGGTCGACGGTCGAAGGGGGGTGGCGGCGTTGAGGGCAGTGCTATTTGGGCATGGGTCAAAATCCACATCGTACCCCCAGTGAACATCCCAATCCAACCACTAAAAAATAGGTTTTAACATTGGTGTTGACCCGCAACCATTTCTTGAGGGTGGGGTTTGCAAGGGAACTTCTTGAGGGCAGTTCAATCTGCTTGTTTGTTTGTTTGTTTGGGGGTGGGTCTGACAGCGAAACCAACGAAAACGAAAACTCGTATTCAATGCGTCGTCTCAAAATAGGGGTGCCCTGTTTGGATGGTTGAAGGGCAGGCGAAAGGAATCGACCCATTTGCGGGGTATCCGAATTTGAGACAAATGCAAGTGTGGGTACTCTCTGCGTGACATGGAACCAAACGAAACATGTTTAATTCTAGAAAACTCAATTTGGGGGATTCAGAATGAGACACGCGCTAAGATTGTTTAGTCACGTCGGGTGGCTCCAAAAATCGGAGCTTCTTTTGGAATGGCGCTTTCAAGGACACCAACTTGCAAGTTTGAGCGTAGTGGCATCGAATGCGTCAACCTCATGGATGGTTGTTGGTTGGCCAGGGAGGTAGCCCCAAGCGGAGATTTTACTGGCTGGTGCTCAGCAGGGAATCACCCTATTCCGGATGTTGGGAATGAACCTAGGGGTTCCCTAAACAGAAACCATGGGGGGATGCTTTATAGGGGTCCTTTCCTCATTCCCTGCTGAGACCCGGCAAGATTGTGGGTGTGCTTCAACTTCAACATGGAACTTCTTGGGGCCTGAACCAAACGGGCCCCCCAAAAACCCCGCGAATCTTCCGGAACCCTCCCTTGGAACCCCAAACCATCCTAGACCCGCTTTCAGCGGCAGGGAGCAGGACATGGAGATGTGATTTTTTCGGGATATTTGGTTTGTCTCCAATCGGGTGAACCGCCCAACCGCATTGGTTTCTCTTTGCTTTCCACTTAAAACAACCCAAAACAGGCACAAACGTAAACAAGAAGCAAACAAGCATATATCATTGTAGTTGATTACTTTCAACTTTCAGCCCTGCTTTGATTTCTTGAACCTGCCATCGCTTTGTCATCACTCTGCCTCAAGGTCCTCGGAAGCTGCCAAAGTTCTCGCTGCCCGGTGCAGTTCCAGCCTCGCACCGCTCAAGTTTACGCTCCTCTGCCCTCTGATTGGTGGTTTGGAGCCGAATCGGTGGTTTGGTGAAATTGCAGGGGTTTTCCATGTACCCTCTGCAAGAACCAGGGGTTCAAATCCCCAAACCAGCCCAATAATCCAAACCAATCCAAACAAATAACTAAGGGTTACCCGAGCTCCTGCAAGTGACGATGGAACCAAAAACAGCTTAGAGGATATTTGCTTGGGATCTCCTCTTTGAACTCCATGTTCTCTTTGGAGAAGAATATTGTCTAGTCATTGATAGCGCGGTGAATCATGACTCTGATTTTGTTTCAATGCATTGCCTGTTGTTGGTAGCTGCTTCCCACTTCTTCAGATTGGAAGCGCCAACAAATACCAATGTAAGGACAAGAAGGCGCAGGCAACTGACATACCTGCAACCATTTGCAGAGATGCTACTCAGTTGCAAGGTGACGGGAGCCCACTTTGGGGTTGAGCAATCGTATTGGGGAAGCTGCCACACAAGAAGGTAAAACAAAAACTATACCAGTATTAATAATGATACTAATAATAATCATAGAACCATATACATGTTTCCAAACAACTTCTCCGACTTGTCGAAGATAAGCCTCACCCAACTGCCGCGCTTGCACCGTCTTTTCCTCCCAGCGGCAGGTCAGCCACCAGCGGCACGATGGCGGCGGCGTCAGTCCTGCGTCCACAAAAATAAGTTGCCGGGTGGTGGCCTGGGCCAACAAAAGAAGAGGAATCAAGCAAGCACAGCTTGGTTCAAACAGAAAGTGGGCAAGTAACTAAGTACTTGTAGCATCAGCATCAAGTGTAAGGCAAACTAGGTGGTGGAGTAATCATCTTGCTAAAGTCGTAGTTCACTGGATTCGCACATGGCACCATCTCAAACATCGGCATGCAAGAAATGCATGGAACAAATTTGGGCTGCCGACCTCAACCGCCAAGGCCCACAACGACCCTGGGCAAGCTCCCGATTTTTGTTGTTGAAATTCCCTTTCAAACAGTCAATCGTCAGTCACTATGTGGACACGCCTTGCCTTGCTGCGCAAAGCAACATATCAATCAAACCAACAACGCAGAAACATCCTGCAACACCGCGTCACTCTGGCGCCCACAAAGAAGAAACTCAGCCCCCGGCACTGCGTGGTTGACTGCCTTCAGCTCAAATGCAAAAGCACATCTCGGGCCGTGCTATCTCTGAGGATCCGTTGGGGTCCGGAGACAGGCTCGCTCATTTTGCCAAGCTGGGGCTTGAGTAGGTCCTGGTTTCTTGGGAAAAACTCCAGGGGTTTGGAAGACTAGAATCTCCTAAAATCCGCCTGTCCACTTTCTATGCTTGCCAAATACAACTCTGTGATAGTTGCAGCATGTAGTTGAACAAATCCTCTCTTCCAGACCCTGTGAAACCTGTAGTATAAGACGCTTTGGTTGCACGGCTCCGTTGATCTTCTTACATGCATTTGAGCCTGCAGCCATAAGCACGCAGTGGTCAAACGTTTCTGTATGACTTTTCGCTCACCTAAAGCCTAAAGCTCACTAGGCGCATCTTTCCAATCCCTTGTATGCAGTTACTGAAAAGTGAGCAGATGTGCTATCTGGGGCTGTGGCGCAATGGCAGCGTGCCCACGCACTCCAGGCATGGGAAGTTGTGGGTTCAAGTCCCACCGGCCCTATGCCTTCTTTGGTCCCTTTAAACACCAAGAAAAAAGAAGCCACCACGCCCAGATTCCATTCAAAACCAACAGGGGAATAAAACAAAGTCTTGAGCAAATGGAATTTGTCCAGACATCTCCCACGACCGGAGTCTCGTTTCGGGCGCCGGACGATGTGCAAATATGCGGAGTCCCGGCCCGTGCTGGACGCGCTGCCCGGCAGCGTGAGGACCTGAAAGCCGTCTCAGACCCCGCAAATGCGTTGTTTCCCTTTGGGCTGTGCCGCCTGATCCCGCCTTTTCACGGAGAAAGGGGCCCTCGGTATGACAATCCCCGATTTTTTTAGGGCTCCTCTAGATCTCAAGAAGAGGTCTCTCTCAAACCAAAAAAGGAAACACACGCGCAAGCACATGCCTTTGAAATCCTACAGTCCAAACCAAGGAAGCTCTGATTTCCGGTCTTCCGTGGGCACCTGCCCCGTGGCCCTTCGCCCTGGCCCTCGGCAAGTCACTTCCCAAGTTGCCTGAGACTTAGGCCTTCGGCTGAGGTGGGAAAGGAAAAACCCGACAGGAATGGGACCCTCTCAACTTTGGGACCCTCTCCTTAGACGGAATAGCAGCTACAGCTGCCTTCCAGATGTTCTCACACTGAATGGGCAACTGGTCAGAGTCTCCTTGGTTGACGTTGGAAGGGGAGCAAAAAAAATAAACCTTAAGTGTGGATTTTTTACTAAACCAATAAGCAACATTTGTTTAAAACAAATGGTTCCCAACAACAACCACGGAGAGGGTTGCCAACGCAGTTTCCTTCCATTTGTGGCATCCGAAACCTTCATGCAGCGTGCGCCGCGCGCGGTTGGACCGCCGGAGCCAAGCAACGTCTAGCATCGGCGCGGGACGAGAAACAAGAAACAGCATACGAAGGACCGAGAAGAGCCAAGAAGAACACACATGAAGCACATCTTCGTATTCTTTATGGTTGGCCTGTCCACATGCAACCAACTTGAAACGTTTTCCCTTAAGAAGCGAATCCAATTGTGTGTCTTAAAATAGGCCAACCTCCCCCTCCCTCCCAAACAAAGATGTGGTGTTCCTGCTGTTTTCCTGCTGGGTTCCTTCTAAACTCCACCCTTCTCAACCACGCCTCCCCCCAAATGGTGGTTTTCATTTTGGGTTCCACTTCTAAACCACCCCCCCAAAATGTGCTCAACAAAATAACACCCCCGAAAAATAAATAAATGTGGCTTTCCTTTTTGGTGTCCTTCTTATTTAGAAGCAAACCAAAAAGGAACACCACCACTTCTTTGTCCCCCCCCAAACAAAAAATAAAAATTTTAAGATGGTTGTCCGTTTTGGTGTCCTTCCATACAATTTAGAAGGACACCAAAAGCCCCTATTTCTTGCCGGTGGGGGGGGGGGGGGGGCAAAAACAAAAAAAGCGGAAAAAACCGGGCGCCCGCCACAGAAACCTCAGACCCTTTGGCCGGAGCCGGAGGCCCGGGCGGAGATGGAGGCGGGGAGCCGGAAGCCCCGGCTGCGAGCCTTCAGCCACGCCGCGTGGCGCCTCAGGCGGCTTGAGCCAATGGGCCGAAAACGGGGGCCCGGGGGCCCCCCGTGTTTTGTTTGGGTGCTCGACGTTGAAGAAAAAACCGCCCAAGATGAAAAAAGGGGGCACCAAAAATCGTCACAGGTCTGGGTGCATTAGTCTGTACCTTCATCATTATCTTCTGAGATTCAAAGAATGGGCCAATCCCCTGGAATGGGTGGCTTCCAAAGGGAACAATGAGTATAGAATGGGGAATCAACCCTTGGAACCATGTCGACTCCTCCGTTTCAACCGAAAAAGCAATAAGCCTCTACCTAAAGTCGTTTTCTAACCCTTAAAAAATAGGGGCTCCTCCACCCGAAAAAAATCCGCGGGCGACCCCGAACATGGAGTGACTAGGTACTCCAGTAGAGAGGTTGGAATAAGGGTACCCTTTTTTGCTGAAGTCTATTTTAGTAGGGGAACCCTCCCTCCCCCAAAAAACAAGTTGGTACAAGGGCCCTGCTGAAAAAACCTAGGTGACCTTCCTTGCCTTCCTTGGGCAAAATTTGGGGCGCCAGTTGCCCGCCATTTCGCCCTGGGGCTCCCGTCATGTCGGCCTCCGACTCGAAGTTCAGCCACTCGAAGTGCGCCGACTGGCGCGGGGAGAAACGGAAAAAACCCACCCAGTGCTGTTTGTCCTGCTGACCCTGTCCCTGAGGGTCTGAGGGTCTGAGGGTTCGAGGGTCTGAGGGTCTGAGGGTCTGAGGGTTCGAGGGTCTGAGGGTCTTAGGGTTCAACCCCAATTAAAAAAATGGTTGCTTCCATTTAGATCATAGGCGAACAAAGGTAGTTATATTATAGTTATATTCGCCCCCATTGCTTTAATGGTGGTTTGAACCCCAGGGCTGTACCAGTTAAGGATGCTTCGGGATATCGTGCTCCTTTGTGGGTGTGGCTCATAATTAAAGAGCTGGGGTTACCCAGGTGGTAGTCGTGGTTTCCATTTGCCACGGGGCCATTTTGGGTACATCTTTTTGAGCCACTGCTATATAAACGTGAATTTTAACCAAAAACAAACTTTGGTAAACATCATTTAGGTGGGGATTCATGTCCACCACAACAAATGAGGTGGTTCCCTACTTTGATTCGTAGCCATTTTCGGTTGCCAACTATAGTGGTATTTGGAAGCACTGGGATACTTAATGCTAGGCAAGAGCTTTTTTGGCCCAACCCCTCATGAATTTGTGGGGCTTTAAGGTTTGATCTGGTGTCTTAGGCTCTTGGAAAACAGGTCATGAAGCAGATCCACGCAAAACCAAGCTTCAAAGACAGAAGGAACACCAAGCCACTTACCCAACTATCTACCCGTAGGTCTATTTTAGTAGGGGAACCCTCCCCCAAAAAAGGGTAAAAGGGCATTACTGGGGGACCTAGCTATAGACCATGATGATAATGGATAGTTTCAGAGTTGTGAATAACCCTGACGTTCCATTGACATGGGGTGTTGCCTTTTGTTGCACTCCTCCGCGTTGAAGGTGCAACAGCTCTATCAGGCAGGGCAATCAATCGAGGATCCAAAACAGGTGAGTCGCACAACATAGAACAACAAGTTCACTTGTTCCATGACGTCCTGCTGCTTCTCAGCTCAACAACCAGGCAACTAACCAGCCTGATCACTCGAATAATTTGGTAAAGGAGTCTCACACCACGTCTTCACGTGTCCAAGTACAAAGTTGGCCGGAGCAAATCCCTCCGAACTCTCACGCCGACGACGCCGTGTCCGCCTCTTCAGCCCTGAGCTCACGAACGGCAGCGCAAGCAAAGGCAAATCCTTCAAGTGTCCCAGCCTGTGGAATTCCCGGTGTCTTTTTCTCGCCACAGCACTAGCAGTATGCTGTTCATCAACCCAACTGTGCTACTTTTGGGACTTGGGATCCTTGATTGATCACAGCTCAAAGAAACAAATTGGCTACGCAAAAACAAAGAAACCAATTGGCTACAAAAGAAGCAAACAAACACATTTGCTACAACGCGTCAAAGAAACCAATGGGCCACACACACAAATCAATTCAAGCGCGAAGTTGACTAGGTGCTCCAGTAGAGAGGTTAGAATAAGGGTACCTTTTTTTCTGATGTCAATTTAGTAGGGAAACCCTCCCTCAACAGAGGGTAAAAGGGCACTACTGGGAGACCTAATTGAGGCCCCCTCCTCTGACTCGATCGAGGCCGTGGCCCGCCGGCTTCGCACATGGGCAGTCCACCGGAGGCCGGTGAAGAGGCCACACGAGGCCTCGGGACGCGAAGCGAGGGCTGGTTTGGAGTCGACCTGGGTGTGGGTCAAAAATAGGTACCCAAAATGAACCCTGGTAAATGGAAACATGGACTAAAACCTGCGGTCCCCTGGTTTAATTTTGACCCACACCCACCTGGCTCCATTTATTTTAGCCTCCTTCTCTCTAACATGGCAACTAACAGGGGGTCCCTTCAAAAGGAATTGTTCATCTTCCAGGTACCTTCCCACAGGTGCCATGTTAGTTGGAGGAGACCATTGTCAAAGTCACATCCTAAGTGGCAGGTTCAAGGGACACAACACCAATCTCTGACTTTGATATAACCCCTAGAAACCGGCAAAAGAATGACCCCCAACAACGGTGGAAATCATTTGGCTCGGGATGTGTGTAAAACCACTTTTGGGCAAGTGCCCTATTGAAATTTATACCATATCAAATTTATGGAGGGTTTTGATTGATATGTGACCAACACTCATTCCAGCTCTTTGTTGAATGCGTTAAGAATATATATGTCAACAGCGGGCTCGCACAACTCCTTTGTGCGAAAAAGTGGAGGCACTTGCCATGTGTGAGGTTTTACTTGAACGCTCACGGGCGGCCTGGTGCAAAATGGAAAACATGACACACCCCAGTATTGTACGGCCAGCAAGAAGAGGCTACCAGCAAAAGGCCTCTGGGGACGAAACTCCGTCAGGATCCTTTCGACCAAGAAGGGTCTGGTGTCAAGCAACATGTTGGAATCAACCAAGTGCCGCATCTGGCTGTAAGTGCAAGTGAGATGTCTTGAGTCTTGGTTTAGCAGCAAGGTACCTCAATTGAGTCGAAGCATCTCAACCTCGGCTTCCCTGATTCCGCGCAAGCCTCGAGTCCCTAAAGACCCTCGCGCACGTGCTCAGAGACCCGGATTCGTTCGTTCGCAACCCTCGACGTTTAAAAACAATACTCCAACTTGCGCAATCGCTCGTGCACGGCTGGCGCAGTGCAGCGAGCGGAGTCTGTCATGCCTTTAGGCAGGCCGTGCCAGGTCCGCGCTGACCCGTATGGGTCGCGTGGCCGTGAAAACCGCCGTGAGTTGTCTCATGGCGCTAATGCTGTGCAGGTCACAGCCGATCCGCACACCTTTCTGTGGAGGGTGCACCGACAAAAAAGAGCGATCAATCCCCGAAGAAAGAAAGCCCTCCAACGAAAAGTGGCGTGCAAACGCGGTCAAAACGCGGTTGACCAACCGCAGGTGGCTAGCAACGGTAGGCCTGGCGAACGGAGCGACATGCGTCGCATGTTCATACTTGCCATCAGGTGTGGCAATGGGAAAAGCCTGGCCAGCTCCGTGCTGGTAAAACAAAACTAATTCCAACATGCTGACATCCACGCAAGCTTCGCTTTGCCCATCAAGGGCCAAGAGCCACTCGAAGAACTGCCGCAGAAAGCTACTGGGAAGGTCCAGCAGCTTTGTCTCGCCAAATGAGGTCCAGTCCTCAGGCAGGTGATCGGCCCAAATGCCTTGGCGGTCATGCCATTGCACATGAGGCCCACCGGGCTGTTCAGCTGGATCAGGTTCTTCCTGTTCGTCGATTTGCAGGTTCTCGCCCTGAGCACGGGTACATTGTGCGATGCGAAGGTAAATGCGCTCCAGCGCATCACAGATTCCGGCCCAGTGCTTGAAGAACTGCTTGGCCTGGTTGTGCAAGTGTACAAAATCAGCAGATCGGTTCCGGTTGGCTGTAACGGCGGCATGGTCAGCTTGATTGTTTCCGCATGCGACCCATTCCTCAAAAGGGGATTCACAGTCGGCTTCCTGAAGATGTGATGGGATCCAGCGAATCTGAAAAGTCCCGGCTGTTGTGGTTCTGAGTAAGTCTGCTGCGGCGTGCCAAAGGTCCTCGTTTTCACCTGACGGGGCTTCGGTGGGCTCATGAAGCAGCGCGTCAATTCCGTGCACGGTAGACTGTGAGTCCGACCAAACGCATGTACGGCAGTTGTGTTTGATAGTCCACCGGATGGCGCTAATAACTGCTGTCAGCTCCGCACGGCTGATTGTCTGTACTGTACCTGACAAATGTCCTGCTGCGATACATCCGCGATCCGGTGCGATGGCCGCCCAGGCTGCTAATGCTTGTGCGCCATCAGGTTCGAGATGAAACTCGCCAGAGCTGTCAGCTGTATAGTGGAGCTGCTCCTTGATGCCGGCAAAAAACGGGTTTCTCGGGACGAGCAAATGGTGGCTGACGCAGGTTGGGAGAGAGTCCCACATGTCGGCCACCCACTGGTCCTCTGCACGGCAGGTCCTGTAGCGTGGGCAGTTGCATACCTGGTGCTTGTAGTCCTCCGGGACAAGGCATAGTGGGCACTGCGCGCTCTTGGTCAGATCGTATCGAGCATGATGAGCGGGAGCACGAAAGGACCCGTCCTGCACTGCTGATACCAGTCGCGCCTGGAGTGGTGTGTACTTGGATCGCCGGCGTGTAGAGCAGGCGTGGTCGATGCCGTTGAGGTCGCTCATGGAGTTGCGATGCTGTACTTGTTGCGCAATACGCTGCGCCCACGCATCTTCAAGCCTGCTCGTCAGCTCATTGGACGAGCATGTGAGAAAGTTGAAGTGAAGGCCGTCATGGTCGGTGATATAGGGGACAGTGTTGATCGTCCATTTGAGCGGGTCGCAGATTTCTAGCAGCTTGGAGAAAGGTCCTGGTAGTAGGCGCCCATCAAACTGTCGCATGAATTGCGCCCACTCGTTGACATGAGCTGGCTGTTTGCGGCAAATCCGGCGAAAGTCCCTGAAGACCGTGAGGGCTTGGTAGAATCCGGGGTCGGCTTGAAAAGGTAAAGCAAGCGTGAGTCTCAGCATGGGATTGCCTCCTGCACACTTCAGACTCAAAGCTGCTACGGCTGCTGATCGAAGCCGCCGGATGTGCTGTTCACCCAAGAGGCAAGTGACGATCCCATGTAGGGCTCGCGGCCAGAAACATGTCCACAGGGTTCTGGCTTTCACTTCCAGGGGGCCTGGCGCACGTCGAAGCGCCTGCCATTTGCCGGAGAGACCGCGGCATCTGTCCACCAGACCAGCGTTGCGTAGGGAGCTGCCGTATGTCATGCAGCCGCCCAAGTCTCGCGCGTTGCGGACCGTGCGGCAAGGGAAGGACTGCAGCGATTTTCTGTCGGTAGCCGATGCGGCCCACACGAAGGACTTGTCGTAGTCGATCGGCAGGGCGAGCATATTGCAGAAGCTTTCCAGAGCACACCATCCTCTTGCTAACGTAGCAGGGGAGTAGGCTGTGGCCGCAAGGTTGTCAACATAGCTATATGCTGAGGTCGACGGAGCAAATGCCTGCATGTAGAGATGGAAGCTGAGGTTGATCATCGTCATGGCAGCAACACTCAAAGGGCATCCTTCGGGGAATCCGACAGAAGATCCGATGGGGGAGGATAGGCTGCCCCGGACGACGAAGCGCCGCTGGTTGTTGTGCAAAAAGTCAAGCCAGGGATTGAGGACCTTGTCCGAGATGCCAAGGGCCTTCGCGATGAGGGCGACTGGTTCCCTGCGAAGGTTGTTAAAGCAGCGTTGCAGGTCGACTGCGAATCCGCAAAGTCCGTCGGCCGAGTGGTCGGCTTGGGCGCTAAGCTCAACAAGTGCTTGCATGGCGAAGACATATTGCATGGCCTCCTTTTCAGGCATGAAACCATATGCTGTGTCGTGGATCAAGTGGCTGACGCCCTTGAGGATGGTCTTTGAGCGGATTGCCGCCCAAGTGCGGTAGATCAGGCTGTAAATGACGATTGGGCGGTAACTGTCTGCTGCTTTGGAGTTGGCGGTCTTGGCGATGCAGCTGACTGTGCCCTGAAGTAGCTGTTATGGGCTCACATGGGAAGTGGCCCTTGGGGATGTAGGCTTGGACGAAGCTGGCAATTCTCGTAAGCTCTTCGTTGGATAGCCGGGTTGAGGTGTTCCAACGTGAAGTCCAGAGGTCGATGAGCTCTGCGTGGATGTCATTGATGTGAGTGACAAAGGAGTCCTGCTCAATGCCGTGCCCTGGGCAAAGAAGCCGGTCGGTGTCGACCTGGGCGACATCAGAGGCAATGGCCTGTACATGGGCTGGTTCTCCATGGAGGGACCAGACCGAATTGCCCCTGGTGCAGATGTCCTTGTCGAGGTGCACAAAATTGTTTTCCGTGTCTACAGCCAAAATGGTGTAGTCCCGAGCGATCGTGAGCGTGTCGATGGCCGGTTGTCTGTCCTCCCGAATGTAGTGGTAGAGAGCTCCACTTTGCTCGTCGTATTTGAGCTTGATAGCCTGGCGTCGTTGGTGTAGATGCCAGGCCTCGAATTTGCGGAAGTTGGAGCGGTAGTCCTGAAAGATCAAGATAGCAACGGGGAGTGATGGCGGTGAGTACGGCAGTCTACATGGGCTGCCTTGAAGTTGCAGCTGCCGATTGGGCCACCAGTTGTGAAAGCCGCCGCGAAAGCCAGAGCTCCTAGTGATGGCCCCCCAGAGCTGAGCGCGGTAGAGGGAGGAGTTGATGCTGGTCACGTTGGATCGGAGTGAGTGGAGATAGCTCTGGAGTCGTCGTAGTTGCTTGCACCATTGCCGCACAGCAGTGCCGGCAAGGCTGGACATGATGATCTCCTCACCTGGGCGGCTTGATTTGATGGCATGCGCCGTGGTGTGGACTTGCTCAGGTTCTGTCCACTTGGCACGCCCTTTGCAGCGGCGAGGCAGGTCTTTGTTGTGGTCCAGCTCTACGTAGCCGTTGAGGGAGTTCTCAAAGGAGTAGGCAAAATGCTGGTACCACGCAGTGGATGTCTCCTGTTCATGGACGGGGGCAAGGCTGGCGGAGTGCCATCCTGGGATGTTGATGGAGCCCCATGGGATGGCGGCTGGTTGTCGCCACCTTCGAATTTGTTGCTGCTGGGCCTTGGTCCACAGATCGACGATGACCGAGGAGTGTTCCATGTAAACGTCTTTTATTCGGACGCGTTGTGTCAAGGCGGCTGCCTCGGGCG